GGCCTCGGGGCTCGGGGAAACGCAGAGCGGCCCCTCCTGCCAAGTAAACGGCAGGAGAAGTCCGTCAAATGCCTGGACACGTTTCCAATCCAGTCGCAATCCAAAACGTCACATTTTCTTCCGATGAGCTGAGAAATGTGTTCTTAAAACTAAAAGGCTCAATTAAAAAAAAGTAAAAAAAGGAAGTTGTTAAAGCCTCCTGTATGCCATAGCCTCTGAAACTAAATTTGAAAACATAATTGTCTCATAAAAAGATGATTCTCCCTGCCATCTTTACTACTTTCTCTTGGTATTTTGAAACCCTGAAAAGTGTCAGTTGATTTGCCCACGGCAAATCATTATACTCTGGAGAAAGTTTCCTATGCCTAAGTGGAAAACAGAATAGAGAAGGGGATCTCTGAACATGCCTACAGTTGTTTTGAGAGAGAAAACATTTTATGAAACCAATTGTAACCCCTACTGCCTTATGCCAATAGCATAAGAAAGCTCAAAAGACAATATGCAATACAGTCAGAACACGCTTTTTATGGTCAGGGATTGTGCACATTATGCAATGTCAGAGTCTTCTGCTACTCGCCTTTCAGCCTCAAAGTCCTTTCTGAAGAGGTAAGTGCAGAGGACAAGTGAAAGGTCTTTCTACTCTGGCTCCCAACAAGAGAAATAAAGATAACATAAAGAATTATTAAGACATTATCACTTCCTGCATTAACCTGTTCACATTCCATGCATGAACCACTTTCACACAGAAACTTGAGACTTGCGATCTTTGAACATGAGAATCTTTGTGCCTGAATTTTCTGGAGTACAAGTAGTTTGCAGAATGACAGACTTAGGGTGGGAAAAGTTTTCAGCTGCATTACTTCCCACAAATCATAAACTTAAGCATAAGAAAAATATGTACATTTATAGCCCCTCTTTTTCTGCTTGTGACTCCTCATATACATTGAACCTGTGATTTTTAGATTTTTCTCATTGTCCCCAACTGCATTAATATGTACCTGAGCTATAGGTAGATTGGGTAGTAATAGACCTAGCTCTGCTATCCAGCTTGTCCATATTGGGGACCTGGGCATACTGGTGCCCAGCACTCAACCCAAATTTCTAGGGCAGTGAAAAGAAGGCACTGTGTCAAGGAGGCACTGCATCTGATTTGTAAATGAGGTGGTGCCAAGGCAGCCCTGGAATCTGACTGTGTTCCTACTGTCAGACTTCCTTACCCTCCAAAATTGGGTGTATACATTCAGACTTAAGTGTCCCCTGGCCTGTATGGACTCTGACCATACTGGGAACATGCCCTGGCCCAGGTCCCGAGACCTTGCATTCCAGCTGCTACTTTTGACATACTCACAAGATTATGAGAGTCTCAATGACTTTGTTCATGTTTTGAAAAGCTGTGTCAATCGACAGGGTTTAGTTTTGGTTTTTTGGGTTTTTTGGGTGGTTTTTTTTTTTTCTTTTTTTCTGGTGCTTTGAAGTATAAATACATCTTAATACATGAAGATTTCACACAAACCCCCAAAATCTCAGGAGCCTTTGTGGCAACACAGGGCCTTACTCATGGGTTGTGATCATAAGACTTCATGTAACAAGATGATGCTACAGTAAGAAAGCCTGTAATGGTGTAAGATGATGTAATTGTCTTTATTGGCTAAATCCAGAGGGCAACCTAGAAAGTGAAAAAAATCCCAAAAACCCAAAAGAGTAAATTTAGTATCTACTCTAGTCCAAGTAGCATTGTGTGCTTTAAATTCCTGATCATTTTAAGTTGGATTAAACCACAACTATCACTAAATTCCTCGGATCACTCCTCTGACTGGCATCAAATGACACACTTCTGCAGCTGAAGCAAACTGCTGATCTGATGATGTTTTCCTTCAGTCACTATTCAAGACACCAAGTACCCGATCCAGAGAATTCAGTGAAAATTTAGTACAGGTTAAAGAAACCATGAAGCTATATTCTGAAATAGGAATTTCTTTGCCTTTCAATACATGGTGAACCTGTCTTTTTTCAGTAGTAACTTTGCAAATAAGGACTCAGACAAACTATTCCAGGACCTACTAATTTGGGTTCAGGGGTTACTGACCACAGTCTGCCTGTTATAATTGCTGTTAGTATGTACCTTTTGTAATCGCTGTTAGTGTGTACCTTACCCTTGCTCTGCCAGTTGAGCTGTTCATCTGATCACACACTGATTGCTGTTTTTCTGATTTGAAAATGTAATTCTCCCACTGTAATCTTTAAAAAAGTAATTTTCTAGTACTGAATTCTGGACTGACCAGGTTTTGGGATTACCTGCTGTCATGCAGAAACCATTCAACCAGCTTGACTGTCAGAAACAGTGAAGCTGCATTTAACTGCTCCTCACAGAACTAAAGCACCTAGTCAGCATACAGTTTGAAAACAAAGGGAATGGAAGAACCTCATTATGAATGATACATATGTTACAAGTAATGTATATGAAACTGTAGAATGTGTGAATTGGAAGGGATCCACAAGAATCATCAAAGTGCAGCTCCCGGCCCTACACAGGACACCCCAAGGATCACACCATGTGCCCTTCTTTGTTGTACCACATGTTGTAGTTTGGGTTTGAAATGCATTTGCAACAGGAAAATCATTTTCTTAACAGGCATTTTTACTACTGAACCATATAATTCTATATAGTTTTGCTGAATTGTGCTTTAGTAGTATTTACTACTGTTTACTTTCTTTCTTATTCCTTCAGATTGCTTCTTTAGGAATCAGAATTTTGACAATATTGATAGTATTTGCATCAGGCCATCTGCACTTTGAAAGACCACTCAAATTAACAGCATGAAGTACTAACAATAGTTAAAATTATAGTTTTAATTTTAACATAATTTCAATACAACCACTAGTTATAACACAGTATGCAAACCACTAGTTAGAACTCTACAGAACAGCAATAAAGTGATAAATTAAAGCTATCTTTTTAAGGCATTATACTTCACGAATCATTAGGAATGTAATAGCAACAGATCATAGTCCATTACCAAATAAATGTACTTGCTGGTTGCTCTAGTGAACAAGTGATATATTAAACAGATCTAATACTTAACAAATGTGAACTATGCCTCTGTTATTATTCCACTCTAAAATCTTAGGCTAGCACTCTCTGTATTTTAAAAGCATACCATTCCTTTATTTTCTCCAAAGGGAATTCACATCTCCTTCATATTACACGTCGCCAAGGCTCAGAGTTAGTGAGAGTTATTTCCCCTTTCTTATTACACGACCCTTTTAGACCATCCTGCTTCTCCCCTGCAGTAAATCCACCCCTCTGTGGCCAGTAGCAGATTTCAGTTCTGCCCGTGGGGCAGCAGAGGAGCATACTCCATAGAAAAAGACTAAAACCATAGAGAGATCAACTGTGCAGCTCCCAGCACAAGTAAAATCTGCCTCTACACCTATTTGACTTTGAAGAAAGAATACATATGCTGGTGAGTGCATGCCTGGTGCCAGTACAAGCCCTACTTTTCATTCCTAATGGAGCCCAAGTCCTTTCACCATATTATTGGTTGGTTATGGTTTTTGATGTTTCTGGGCTTACAGCACCTTCTGTCCTTTCCATGCGAATTGCAGAAGAGGGAGGAGAATCACGGTCCCTGACTTGTGGTGGCTGCAAGAACTGGGCCTAAAACTCTTCTGCTATTACACAAAAATTAAACTTGTACTGCGGTCATACCCTAGTTTTGATTAAGCAATGCAGAGCTATGGGGCTTTGTCATCAATATATGGATCATAATAATAATAACAATAATAACAACAATAACAACAATAACAATAATATATTTCGCATTTCATTGCCATAGACTTGTTTTGTTCACCCCAAGAACTAAAAAGCCCTGTAGCTGTTTTTATCACAGCTGTGATTAACTCTAAAACCCTTGCAGTAACACTCGGAACTTTTAATTCTCTGAATCCACTTGTAGATCTGCAATGGCTTTTGTCTCAGTCTATTGCTGATGACAAGTCTCAGGAGGTCAAATAAATACATGTCTCAGGAAGTCAAAGAGTATTAAAATAACTGATAAATACTTCTAAATTGAAGTGATGGTAAAGTTGTTCTGAAGACCATTTTTTCTCAAGCCCAGGTGACATTACTTTTATGTTCTAGGAACTACCATTTTTTCTTTGAGGTAAAAACCCAAGTTCACAAAGAAAGTATGCATTGTTTGCTTCAGTTATGCTCTGTCTATACAAAGGTCTTTGTGTTTAGAACATGTGCCAAGTCATACCATTTTGAATTAGTCTTCAAAGGAAAAAAATTGGTACATGCTAAAACCTGAAAATGCTGCTTTCTACGGCAGCCTACATAAGCCCTGAGCAGCAGAACTGGCACAGCAAGCTACACTCTTCTGTCCCACTGCTTTAAATCTTCCCATGGCCCAATTTACTGCCACTTGGTTCCACTAACACTTCCCAGCTACTGGATATCTCAGGTTACATGGATGGTGTTAAGGTCAGGAAGCCAAGGAGATAAATAGTTTGGTTTTCCACCTGTTACCCGTTGAGCAGTCTTCATGAAGCCTTTAGGAATATATAGTTTTGACTTCTCCATCTCATTGTTGAATGTGATTGGAATTAGCAAAGTGCCAGTGAGGGGGCAGA